GACTCCACTCTTTCATATCCTGAGCTAATTTTCGCATTTTCTTAAAACTAGAACATCCCACATCCTTAAGTATTTGCGAACAGGAATATAATCTAGGTCTACCTCTACTCCTCCTAACTCTTGTTTCTTCTGCCTCTAATATGTCTCTGACTAGACCTTCATGCCTGAGAAGGTGTCCTACTAACCTATCTCGCCTATTTCTTATTGACTTCCAAGGAGTCCTCTGTTCTCCTATTCTTTCTAATACCTCTTTCATTTCTAACCTTCTCTATCCACGGTATCTTCATCATTCGCCCGTAACGCCACATTTCGAAACGCTTCTAACCTTTTCACATCTTTAACAACCTTTTTCGAATTTTTAAATAGAAGTGAGTTCGTTTTATTGAAGGCGACTGGACCCTGTGCTATCCTTTGCTTTGTATCCCTACTATTCCTTCCGTCCTGACTTATCTGACTTCCTAGATACCTAAAATCGACCACTTTTTCTAATTTTTCGTCTCCTATCATTATATTCGCTCTTTCCCTACTTTTTCTTCTTTTGTATACCAGTATTTTTGTTTTAATATATTTTTTTTAATACAGTTCTGCTTTCCTATCTCTAACTCCTCCTTGCTAGATGCTAATACCGCTAGATCATTTGCAAATCTAAGCATACTAATCTTTTGTCCCTGTTTATCTATCCCTACAGTTATACTGTCTTTAATGATGTTGATCGCATCTTCGATGTATAGATTAAAAAGTAGTGTGACAGTCTTCCTAATATTTACTTCTCTACGTTGCAACCCCAGCTCTATAACTGCCTGTTGCTCTATATACAAACTAAGTATCACTCTTCCATCTTTGTAATTCATCCCTACATCTTTAGGTATATTGAACATCTTGTCCCATTTAACATTACCAAAAGCTTTTTCTAAATCTACAAATCCCATGTACGCACTCCATTTTCCTATCGTTTTCTCTATTGTTACCCGTAAAGCCAGAATGACCTTGATTTGATTTTGATTGATTACTTAATGGTAAATTAAATTAAAAACAAATTGTATAAAAACTGCTTTTTCGTTACGGGTCGAAACTTCTAGCGTTTTAGGGCTAAAGCGTCATAACTCACGGCAGCTGTAACAGTAGCGCATTAACACCATAAACCAGCCTTACAATAATGGCTACGAGTCGTTGAAGTCGTAAGAGGGTAATATGTTTCTATTATCGGCGCAAACTATTGCCCCGTCAGAGTATTAGGGAAAAGCTCCCCGGCAAAATTGCCTTCCATATAAATATATTGCGACCATAAATTCTAGGGAAGTGTTCAGCATAAAGCGTATCTATATTTCAGACAGTCGCCGTTGTAAACCATCTATAATGCATCCCCGAATAAGTGAATGGCGAACGAAATGAACCGGGTCCCACTTGGAGCAGCCGAAGAACTGAAAAGTGATTTAGAAAAACGACCGGAAATAGACGAGGGAAAATCTGCTTCCGATATTGGAAAATGCACTAAAAACGGGAACGTTCCTATTTATTTTTACATTACATCATGACTTATTGTCAAGGGAGAAACATTTTATTTTTTCGTTTTCTAAGAACCACATTCAGATGAAACGAATAACAGAAAATGAAAACAATTCTCTACACAATTAACTTTGGATAATATAATTTAACCAATCAGAAAATTTGTTATAAAGCTTTATGACGTCCAACTGGAAACACGAACGACAAGAATATAAAAAAACTCGTCATCAGAAGGTCGCCAGTCTATCGTCAGCAAGCAATCCTCCCACTAGCATCCCACATTTATTATTTGCGATTTTTGTAATCTAATCTAGATATTCCTTTGCCTCGTTTTGCTCTTTTTTTTGCTTCTAATATGTATCTAATCTAGTCCTTCATGCCTCAGTAAGTGTCCTAACATCTTATCTTTCCGTTTCCTTAGTTTCAACAGCGCCTTTTATTTTCTTACTTTTTCCAATACTTCCTTATTTGTAACCCTTTCTGTTGGTGGAACACTCAAGAATCAGAAATATTGAGGTTTTCAATATACGAGGGCGGTTCAATAAGTACCCGTGTTTGAAGACTGATTGATAGGTTAGTTTTGAATTTGGCAGCCATTCGACTGAGCAGTATCGTTTGGTAACTCGATTTTTGTTTTTGGATGGGAAAAAATGCCAGGAGATGTTTATGGAGACATTTCGCCATCTATGACTACAGTTAGATATTGCTTCAACGAATTTAAACGTGGGCAAAGATCCGTTTTTGATAGGAACGATCAGGAAGCCTGGCAAACGTTGTTACCTAGGAAATCATTTTACGGATTTTTTAGGAAAAGGAAGAACGATCACTGGACAATAGTACAGTGAAATATTGGACCGCTTCGACAAAAATTGAAGGAGACACGGACGCATTTGACGAAAAAGAAGGTGCGTTTTCAATACGATAACGCACCGGCACATTCATCAGGAGTTGTCGCCGCCAAAATGCATAAATTACGTTATGAATTTGCTGCCGCACACCCCGTATTCACTCGATTTGACTTCCTGCGACTTCGTCTTGTTCCCTACCATGAAGAAATGACGAGAGAGAAAGAAATTTAGCTCAAACGAGGAAGTCATCGCCGAGACAGGGGGGATTTTGGAGAGTTCGACAAATCTTATTTTTTGGAGGTAAAAAAATGGCAGGGTCGTTGGGAGAAGTGTATCTTTCTAAAAGGGGACTACGTTGAAAAATAAAAAAACAAATTTTAAAAAAAAACGTGTCTTCATTTCTAACACGGGTACTCATTGAACCGCCCTCGTAGATGGAAGAACTCATGAACACTAGAAACCCCTAAGAGGACGAAATCAATGCTTTATCATATTAGTATTTTAAAGATGAGCACAAATCTAGTGGAAGTAGAAATCTGTGCAAAGAAATCCAAAAGGAAGAGAAACACAAATGGTAAAAATTTGATAAAGAAGAAAGAAGCATTGGATTCCAGCATTTCAGGCAACTTTAACAACAAACATACATATATTTTCTCAGAAAAACAACGAAACTGATTAAACGCTTAAGAATTCGGTATTGATAAGGACATACATTAAATCAAGACAGTTTTACGTCTCAATGGTGTCGTAAATAAGAGGTGCCCCCATAAGACACCCATATTAATTTGTTGTCGTGGTTGGTAGGTATAATTAACTTAAAACGTAAATTCCACAGCGCCATTAGAGCCTGCTGCCTCGTTGGGCATTATAATTAAAGACGTTTTTAGCGGTAGTGAGCTGCGGTCATTAATTTTACCGTACAGGTGCTAATACACCTACCAATGTTGCTATGCCATGGCGTGACTTATGTTGCGTGACGGCAAACTAAAACTACCATAGAACGATTTTTTTTTATTGTTACCGTACAGGGTTGCCTGATCTAATGATTTCAACTACATAGCCCATATTTGGTCAAGACCCAGCCAGCCCTGGCACACGTTTTGCTTAGGTAGCGCAAATTGAATACCGCTCAGATCCAATTATTTTTAGAATGATAGCGAAACAGCAACTACAGTCCATTTCAATTTATTAGAATTGTGACCTTGAAGAAATCTGCGCCAAGATAGAAAGAATACACACTAGGCGTAAGCAAGACAGAAATAGTTGAACGAGCAGAGCTCTCGATGGGCGGTCTTAGGAGATCGGCTAGAAATGTACAGTACTAGACGAAAATGCTTAGCAATTTCTTAAAACAAAAATGTACATAAATTAACAATAGAAAACAAAGCAAAAGTTTTACAGGTGTATAGAGCGTTAAGTTAATTCACTTATTATTATTTAAACTAAATATGCTTTTAAATAAAGCACATTCTTAAATTTTAACGAGGCAGTTTAAATAATTTTGCAAATGGCACTGTACACTTTTGTCTAGTTCTCGCTCGATGATCGGTGGAGACTGGAGAAATGAGCTCCGCTGACAAATATGATTGAATTTGGAATTATGCTACGGCGCATCCTAACAAAGGGAAGGGGCATATCTCTAACTTTCTGAAACGAACAGTACTTCTCGATGATCTGAATCTGAATCTGAACGGACAAAAATTGAAACAATTGACAAAGAAAGAAAAATAAAGTAAATGCATATTTACGAAAATGAGAGAGTCATGGAGAGTTTAAGTTACCGATGGAAGAACCGTTTGGTTCGACCCACGACCTACAAAAACTGTGTTTGCAACACAGAATTGCCCACCTGAAAAAACAGTTGGGACTGTGCTCGGCGCGGAATGGGTTCAATATGCGCAGGGCCTTATATGACCTACTGATCACAAATACAGATAATTTCTGACAAAGTAATTTCATGTAGAAGCACTTGACAGATTTGTACGTATAAGTATTTCATTGGGATATACGGAGTATTATGCAGAGGGGATGAAATACTTCGCTCCAAAGATAAATTGCTATATACGAGGAGTTTAAGTTGGGTAAGGTTATGATGGAATACGTTACCATACGTAATGTGCTTTGTGAGAAGAGATTAGTTACGATTGCCATGGTGGTTTTCAATCATTTTATTCCCTCTCTACCTTTTTTTTTTTATAAAATAAGTTGATACGCCCCTCTTAGTTTTCGTAACGATCTAATTTCATAAAAATATTCACCACAATGATCCAAGCGCTTGTCTTCTCGGCACAGATTTGACATTTTTTGGTACCAGTTACGTGCCAACTTATCAATAATCTCGCACCCCGTAAGGGGGACGCACCCCAAACCACTGCATCCTACGGATCCTGATTTAAATTGAGGATATATGACATATATCCCTGAATAATAAATTGGCCTGCTCTACCTTACAACATATAGAGGTAATTTAGAAATGACATGACTACGTGGCGACAAAACTCCACTTAACGCTGCCCGTCACTTTCTAGTCTCCTGGAGCTCCAGGAAGGTCCATGTCCATATTATTCTAAACTACCCATAATAGACTGCTTACGTTTATGTTTTCTACAAATGTAGGTACACAAAAGTAAATATAAATTCACTTACCACGACCTTTTGACGATTTTGGGAACCATCGATTTGGGAATGCTGAAACAAGGAAATTAATATTTTTATTAGGGAGACATCATTAAATATAAATTATATCATATCAATACTGTTGTAATACTTATTTATAAAAATTAATGTTTTCTTCAGATGTGTTGCTTAAAACCAGTTCAATTTAAATAAATTCTCAAATAAATATGCGTGTAGAGATGAAAACAGTTGCATGGTCCAATGCGCGTCTATAAATTGGGTAAAGACAGTTTGGCAGGACATTTGTCTGCCGTCAGCAATATTTTCTTACGATTTTTTTCGGATTATTTACGATTTAATCCACGTGAATGTGTATCCGTGGCGCGTTATATATGTTTCCATTAAAGCCGTTTTGATAAATGGCCACGCGGGCCCATTCGGTGTCTGGGAAGGGGCCATAGAACTTGATATAGTGCCTTATAAATTAAAAACGCGCGTTCAAATCCCCATGCACTGTCGAGTTATGAAATCGAAACAGTGCCGTCCATAAACATCGAAAATCTAATATATATATATGAATTCGACTGCTTCAATGTATCAGTTCTGGTTCATCCTTAGAACATCTTGAAACAGTCCAATTATAGGGGCATTGATTAGGCTCAGACTATTACCATGTAAAAAGTAAAAACAACGATTACAGACACTTGGGATATCCAAAGAGTGAAGAAATTAACAAAAAGGGGTTGCAGTATATTCAAAATTAATCCAATTTCATGTTGTGGCCTTTCCATAAAGAAATAGGCGAGATAGGTTACTGGTAGGACACCTTCTCATACATCAAGGGCTAGTTATAAATACGTTAGAAGCAGAAACAGGAGTTAAGAAGAGTAGAAATAGATCCAGATTAGACCACTGTTCACAAATACTTAAGGATGTGGGATGTTCTAGTTTTAGGGAAATGCAAAGATTAGCTCAGGATAGGAAAGAGTGGAGGTGGTATCTAGTAACTAAATGTCTTTATCGCTTAAAAGAAAGTAGTGCTAATGAGAACTACTAAGTTAGAAATCGTAATCCATAGCTGATGATTCGATAAATTGAAGACCAAGAACTTACTATTCCTTATTTAGTCGATTTGGATGAAGATTCAATTTGACAAGGAGATATCTTCGTAAACCCTGGTCAAACAACAAAATACATACTACAACCACTACTAAATATTCGCAGACAGCAATATACTGCTCCTTACTTCGCTTTAATCCTTCTAAAACATGTATAAGTCAATTTTCGTTGCTATAAGAAATGTCACAATTTGGACTACTGTATATTATAGATTATAGTACCTATTAATGAGTCCTCAGTTTTACAATTTCCTCTTTAATTATTACGTGTCCATTCAGGTAGATTTTCTTATTTAAATGCAGTTCCTACGGGTTTTTAACTTTGGCCTTGTTGAATTGGGTTCACTGGTCTTTTAGCAGACTGCTCGAAATAATTAGTATTGCTAATAATAACAAACTAACATAAGAAGAAGAGCAAAATTGACCATGTGCGGGGAGGATGTGCGTTGTCGGCTGTCAGAAACGGCAAAGAACAATATTAATGGCGACTGACATTCGTCTGACCTAATGATTATCGCTTACAAACCTAAACTTGTTTTATTTCCGCCAAACTGTCACATAAAAATATATAATGTTCGTGTTAGTCTAATTAGAGCGGCTGATTAATGGTCTATCTGCTGAAAGGTTATCCGCAATAATTACAACTGATCTCGGTCGCATACCATTTACTCCGAGCAATTCATTTCTCGTTCCTATTCGGCACAAATTCAACCCTTTCAATTCTATTATCAGAACAGATACATTGTCCTATTTTCCTACTATTGGAGGTAAAATATTATTGCTTTGACAACATTTATTAACGGGGTGGGGAATTAGTGTGCCCCTGTATATGAATTCTCCAGCAGTCTATAAGCGGTCATTATGCAGAGACAGGGACAAGCATAAATAAGGGCCAACAAACGGAAATGATGCATTTCCTTGATGTTAATCATCATGTAAACATAATAACTATACGTTTAACTGTAAATAACAGACATATACATCTACTGTCACGAATATGCACAACCTGAATGATGGAGATGGAAATGTAGAGATGGGTTGGGTGCCCCGTTTGGATCCGGTATCGTGCGGATCCGGCAGTTTTTGTAGGATCCGGTTGGATCAGTGGACGCTACGGGAAAGAAAAGGTTGGAAGCGTTCACAATTTGATGTTACATAGACATAGAACAGAGGACTCTAGGGAAGTCAGTAAGAAATAGACGAGACAGGTTGGTAGAACACCTTCTCAGGCATTAAGGTCTAGTCAAAAGAGACATATTATAAGCGGAAACGGAAGTTAGGAGAGGTAAAGGTAGATCTAGATTAGATTACTGTCTGCAAATAGTTAAGGATGTGGGTTGTTCTAGTTTTAAGGAAATGCGAAGATTAGTTCAGGATAGGAAAGAGTGGAGGTGCGCGTCCAGCCAGTCTTAGGACTGACGACTTTATGATGACAAATTATTTCGATTTAGTTCTTATGTTTCCTTTTTCTTATGAACAAGAATACATCAGCATGACCGAACGGTTATAATTTCTTCTTCCATATTGACTAGACTTTATGATTGATATTAGTGACGTGCCCAAAATAATGTGTCGCGTGCCACTAATGGCACGCGTGCTATTGGTTCGCCATCCCTGATATATCTGGTTTTAATTAACAATTACTTACTAGTATGATTTTGTTAACTTGCAGACTTTTAATGTTTATATTAACATTATTATTATACATTAAAGGTTAGTTTCAACGGTTTCAATTCAACCCTCTCGCAGAAAATTCGCCAACCAGAAATTAAAATTTCATTGGTTTAGTGTTTAAACGACTAGGGACGTTGCTGAGGGTGGTATTTAATGGAAAACCCCAGAACAAAGACATGAACCAATAACCGTAGTGGTTTTACCGGGAATCTGACACAGCTAATGCTGGTCACCCGGCTATCCGGTGAAATTGCCCTTATCACACAGTATTTTGTTGTTACAAGATATAGCTCATATTCTTACGTACACGTTATCTAAATCTTTGTAGTTTATTATCATAAACTTTCAAAATTTTTGTTCCTTTAAAATCAACATCATGCCCAGTTCTTTATTGATAGAAAATCAATTTGTCCCAGATCATTGCGTAAACCGGAACTGATAGAACCGAAATCAATTTGACAAGATGATGATCATGTTATCCGGCTGATCATTTCGAGCTCCTTTCGGCAATGAAACTTATGATGTAACGTAATTCGAAGCAAGACGAAGCAAAATTTCTTATTAAAAAGTCGACGAAACCAATTACTTTACAGCAAGCACGTCGTCGGTTAGTTCATTTTTGTTCCGCATCCGTGAACGCCGGATCTAACACATTTCGATGTCCGTGACATCGTCAACAAAGCAAACTTACCACCGAATTAATAAACAACAATGCAGAGTGACGAGGTATATTCCAAGATCAAAGACGGCGGGTCCGCAAACCAGGTCTTCGCCCCCGTTTCTAATCACGCCATCGGCGACGGCGGCGTCCTATTCATCAACAAGTGGACGCGCCCTCCGCGCGACTCCGACAATCGACGTCGTCGTCGCCGCCAACAACGCCACCTCCGACACCGGCAAGTGGGAATATTGGTGTCGTTAGTTGGCTAGGCCGTGAAATCGAAATTTTGGACCGTGAAATAAGTACAGAACCTTTAATAGAAACGTTCGTCAGCCAAATGGGCCTTAATTAAAAATCAAACACAATTTCTGACGGCCAAAACACGATCCGGACACGACACCTGACATAACATTTGATAGACGTCAAAACAACGCCGTTTTTCTGTTCGCTCAAAAAGAATTTAGTCGTCCAACTACCAGCGAAAATTAAAATTATAAATAATAATTTGAGTAATAATCATAAAATAATTAATTAGTGTGCGTACGTTTATGCTAGGGCTAGTAATAAGTCATAAAAATTAACAACATGAGCTATATGTATGTAGGTATATTACTAATAATAAACCCTTTAGTTGATAATTTGTTGGTAGATAAAAAATGTACTAATTAAACTTAGTTGTTGGAGCATACGTAATCCTTAAACGTAGCATCGTGCTACAGATGGCGTTTACCGCGCCATTTGTAGTATTTTCTAAAACGCACTGTTAAGACAGCAGGTAAAAGTTGGTCTGTGTTCTGCCTGCGACGCGCTGATGAGATCTAAAAAGATCTAAATCGCGATCCGCGTCTGGCAGTTTCGACAGAATATAGACCACTTGGAATTATTTTATTTAATGTACTAATTAATTTAGGCATAAGTTCTAATATCTAATGTAAAATGCAAATTATTTTATTAATTATAACGTGGGACAAATTATTCCGTTCTAATCTCTTAAAAATTATATATTAATTATAAAATCATCCCTGCTATATTTACATTCTTCTCCTTCAGGAAATCTCAAGACAGAAGGCAATTAGATACCTACTCATTTTTTATGACTCTACTTTATACTATTGTTTAGAATTAAATAATAAGTTAATAATTAATTTTTAATTAGGAGATACCTTGTTCTCAACGTGGATGTTGAGAACATAATAACATTTATTGTTTTTTAAAAGAAAAATATTTAACTATTATATTGGTCGGCCTCAGTACGGACCTTACGTCTTAATCATTACAATTTGTAATTAGTACACTAGCTATAAATTAATTTATGAAAATATTTACTTCTAGATTCTCTTGTTCCTGAAGAATTAAACAGTTAATTAAACATTTTGCGTGATGAAATTTTCTTATCTGCAAAGCTGTCTGAACTAGGATTTATTTGTTTTTTTTTTTTAATAAATATAGGTATAATGATTTTTCTTTGTAATTAATTGCACGCTTGCTCGTGTGTAATTTAACAAAATTAACATAAACACTAATTGATGGAAATTATAATTTAATGATTATAATATAGCGATAACTAGCCAAGTCCTTCGTAATATGTTATTATAAGCAATCTCTCTCGCAAATGGCTC